CAGCGTGGGCCATCTTCTACTCGGAGTCATCCGCTTAGGACCTACTGAAGGCCTGCACACAGAGGAGGGTTTAGATATTCACTGAGTGATTTCTCCAGCAGATGCTCGTCAAGTGACTTGTATGCTAGATACTTAGACACTGTCCAGGAGATGGAGTAAGAAATAAAATGTTGCCTGGGAGGAGCTCAAGGTCCAGTTAGAGACACAAGGCCGTAAGCAGTTACCTAAGGTGTGTGACAGGCAAAGCAAAGGTGTGTGACCCATGGAGGGTGAGGAGCTGTGCCAAATGTGGGGAAGGCAGTGCGATATGGAAGCCAGAGAGGTCAGCAAAGGCCTCACAGGAGCCAAGCGTGCAGCCAAGGCAGTGTCTAACCTGGGTGTGGGGAGCTAAGCAAGAGTTCACTGAGGAAAACAGGTACTAGAGGAAGCATTCTAATCCAAGGGAGTGTCTGCAAAGTTAAAGATGTGAAGATGTATATACAACACTTCAGGGGGCTGCAATTAGTTTGGTCTGACCAGGGCCCAAGAAGCATAGGAGTTGAGGGTGCAGACACAAGCAGGTCAGGTCACTTAGACCTTCTCCTGTCAAGCCAAGAAGGCAGAAGTGGGGCAAAACCTTCAGACAAGAAGTATTCAGCCAGCACTCCAATTAAAGACATAGAAGTGGGGACTGGGCATGTAGCTCAGCTTTCAAACTCATGGCTACCCTTCCTGAAGGCCTGTGTTCAATCCCTGCCATTTGAAAAACAAAAGAGTAAAGCAGCTTCAGGTAACTTGGATGTGAAAAAGCCGGTGTGCCCTGCCCTGATGTGGTCTCCCTTTAGAGCTTCCAGGTAACCCTGAAGCACTTCAGAGCATACTTTGAGAATAACACCAGGATTCCTAGGCTTCCTTACTAATAACAATAACAATTACAAAAAGATCTGATAATTTCGCTCCATGCAAGGGAGGCTATTTTGAGGGGGATTTGTGACAATGGATCTTTTACTGTAATGCATGTTTTCAAGTTTAAACATATTTCTTGTTTTCAGTCGCACCTCATCTGTGTGTATGTGTGTTGTTTTTGATAGGTAGTACACTGGGGAATAAGGGTCTGGGGTCCAAAATATTGAAAATATTGAATGCTACTTTAGACAGAATGGGTTAAAGGTATTTTTAGAATACCACACGCAGTGACAAGTAGGCACTTGGAAATATGGATGTTGGCCCCGGACAATGGCAAATGCTATAGTTACAGACTTGAGGGTTATTGATGTATAAGTGATAGTTGAAGCTGTGGGTTCAGTACAATTGCCTAGAATTATATAGAACACACAGAAGAAGCAGGCAGAGCCCTGGGGACCTCAGGCAATTAAAGGGTGGATAGAAGAAGAGAAGCCAGGAGAGGAGACTGAGAGAGCTAAGCGGGGTGAAAGAAAGGAAGCAGGTAAAGGCAGCATCTCTGAAACCAGGCTAAAAAAAAAATCCCCTGAAAAACAGAAAATAAGCTTAAACTTAAGCATGTAATCAGTAATTGATAATTGGTTGCCTGGAAATGAAAAAGAAAAAAAGGCATTTAATTTGCATAGCATATTCCTGTGGGGTTTTTTGTTGTTTGTTTTTGCGGAACCAGGGATTGAACTCAGGCCCTTGTGATTGCCAGGCAAGCGTTTATTCTACTGAGCCATCTCCCTGGCCCTGCATATCCTTTTTAAAATAAATCTGAATCACTTCTCGGCCTTTTGGCTAAGATCAAGTGTAAAATAAATCTGAAGCACACTTATTTTTTCCCAGCAGCACATGCCCTTTCCTATGTGAGTATAGAGTAGTGTAGCAAAATAACAACAACCTAGCCCGCAATGTAAACAGTATCATTGCTGTGTGGTGGAACTTCACGCTCTTCTCTCCAGGGATAAGTGAATTCCCTTAGATCTCTGCACGTAAGTCAAAATTTTACATTCAATTGCGTGTTCATTCTGAGTTTAAAATTCTGTGACAGAGTGCTTAGAAAGTTGGGCTTTGGTAAATTGAAAATAAAGGGTTTTTTTTCAGTGATGGGATAATGTGGAATCTATATTCTTTTTCTTATTTTGATATTTTGCAGCTTAAATTGTAAGGCATATTCCTCTGGCTTTACTACTCCACAGATGGAAGCCCTGCTCCCCTAGGGATCTGGGGTAGGGGTGTTTCTAAAGCCATCCATTAGGCCTGGACAGAGGCTGACACTCTGTAGGGCTCTGTAGATGTTTATTGAATGAATGGATGAGGTACCATTTTTCTTCCTGTGTAGTAATCCTGATGTCAAAGCTGTCTGCATTCAACAAAACAGGAAAAATAAAGTTACTACCCATAACAGAGTGACTAGAGATTAAAACCAGTACTTGCTTTTTCTCTTTCTTGTGAGGACAGGAAGTGGGTACTGACTGCTACCTTCTGAAGCCCATCCTAGCAGTTGACTCTGCGAAAGCTTCTTGGTGAAAATCCTTTCCAAAGAAGAAGCAATAGAATGTGGCCTTCAGACTCCCAAAGATTTGAATTTTTCAGATCACCTCCCCTCAGGATTCAATTTATTCTCTTAATATTAATTGAAGGCCTACTGTGCTAGGCATGGAGAAAACACAGCAAATAAAGGCTCAGAAGATCATGTTGTCATGGTGCGCACCTCAGAGCAGAGGAGACAGCAGGCACCAGCAAGGGAGTGATGTGTGTCAGTGGTGAGAAGTGCTGAGGACAAGAAGGGGCCCAGAGAAGGGGCACAGAGTCCCGGGTGGAGAGCAGGCCTCTGCCCTCTGCTGTAGGTGGGCTGGCCGGGAAGGAGCTTTTTGGGCAGAGTGCAGGTCCCCCAAGTTGTAAGTGGGTGGGAGCGGGGAGCGCGTGCTTTGTGAATGCGAAGACCAGCCCAACCAAGAAACCTGCTGCCCAGTCAGCCTCGTGATATGTAGCTTGGATGATAGCTGTAAAAGTCAACTCTTCAATTATAACTGTAAGACAATCTTTGCAGGTGATTTTAAAATGAAACAGCTTCCATTATTCAAAACTCCAGAATGGCAACCAGTTCTTAAAAATGATGAAAGTGACCTACTCATATTCCCTCCTTTTTTTTTTTTTTCAAATGGAGACTTTTGCTCTCCTGCTGAGACCATGTATTATATATTGTTTCATATGAAAATGAATTTTTGCTGGTAAGTTTGAAAACTGCCTGAAAATAGCAATTAATATTGGAAAAGCTGACAGAAACTTAAGTGTATGGCATGATTTGTGCTGCTATAATTATGTGCCTGTGAGTATACATGTCTGGGTAAACACAGTATGAAAACACACTTGATGTCCGAGACAGTATGCAGTGTATTTTCTTGCAGGTAAGTGAGGGAGAAGCGGGGAGGGAGAGAGAAGTGATAGAATTTTTAAAGAACTCTTGGGTGGCATGCATTTTTCCATCTTACATTTGTATGACCTTGTTTTTCAAATTATTTTCACATGCACCACCTCATTTGATCCTTATGACTTGATGAGGGAAAAAAAGGCAGAGCAGGCTTTGTTCTTCCTACTGGACACATGAGAAAATAGCCAGCCAGCTAGGACAGCCTAAGGGTCTCGTGTATAAAATGAGAACCTTGGACTTCATCGCTCCCAGCGTCCCTTTTAGCTCAGCCACTTGATGATTTTGCTTCTGACTGTTCTGAAGTGACATAGCTGTTCAATAAGTTCAGGAACCCTTCTCCTGCATAGTTCCTCTCTATGTTCTTCAAACTCTGCTTGTTTAATTACCTGTAAAAGGCAGTGTGCTCTGAGAAGGTACAGAAAAGATTATTGGGGGAATCAAGAGAGGGCCTTAGGAAGCACGAGTGCTGTGGTAGCCGTCACCACACCCCAGTCACTTATCCAACCTTCCTGAGCACCCGTTAAGGTGGACCTGAGAATCCCTTCAGTGCAGGGTTATTTGAGGACTAAGAGCTGTGCTGAACACCGTGACACATCCCTGATGCTCCGTACATGGCTGATAGGTTTGACTGGTAAACTGGCTGCCTAAGACATGGGGATGTACTGTCACGATTCTCTCAGAATCCAAAGGGGCATTTGTGGTGTGAACTTGGAATTAACAGATGCATACAGCTGTCTTTAAAAAAAAAAAAAAAGTGGGAGAAGAGAAAATAAGATTGAGAACTGTGGCCATTCTATATGTATCTGGGATCCAAAAGGAAAATCCACATGCACCCCTTGGATAGCAAAGGGTCTTTGTGGAGTTTTATGTCAGATGGCCTTCCCAAGTCCGGTATATAACTTACATGAGTTCTCAGTTCTCCTCACTGCCCCAAAAACTCAGTGCCGAAAGTCCTCTCTAGGGACAGGGAACAGCATTGCCTACTGGAGTTGACAGGTAACTAATCTCACAAGGTTGTATGGTGACTTACAAAAGGCATGCATGTATTATTCATTATGCCATTTTCATTTGATTACTGTGAGGAACTGTTTTTGTACAGTGGTGTCCATTCTGAGGGTGTCCATGGAGCTGGAAGCCAAAACCCTATCACTCCTAACCAAGGGGTTGTTGAGGAATGTCACAGAAAAGACTAGTGGCATGACTGATGTGTGAAAACTCCAGTAGGCATTGCTGTTCCCTGTCCCTAGAGAGGACTTCCGGCACTGAGTTTTTGGGGCATATTAAGCTAACATTTATGGCATCTGTTGCCACCAGTTCAGGAGTAGTATTCTGGCCATGTTGACAGATCTAAAGAAGTCCCAGGTGGGTAGGACTGCCCTGGACCCTAGGTGGCTTCAACCCTTAGACCCCAGTCTGTTTCTGTTTTCATTCAGAACATCAACCCTCCCATCAGATTTTGTTTACTATATGCAGTGTTTGGGAAGGATAAGCAGTGACTGAACACCTGTCCTGTGTCGACATTTCCAGAACAGTTGAGCTTTTCTTCCTTAGAGTAGTATATTAAATGTTTGGGCAATGGCTATTGTGTCTGGTTGCCCCCCACTCTTAAAATGTGTCCATTTCTTTTTTCCTGTTCCAG